TTAAGGGAACAGTGAGAGAAGATGAGATCGATTGCGCCTGTGCTAGGGATGGTTTCCGAGGTTCGGTAAGTTCTAGCTTAGCTAAAGATTCGGAAGGAGCCGAAGAAAGCTGACTTTTTACATCACTAACTGAGACGAGGGTCGTTAGATTCGAAGAGATAAAGGTCGCATTGTTTTTTGGCACTGATTGTTGGAGCAAATGGACGCCGGAATTGAAACTTGCTCCCGAGGGGAGTTCATTCTCTGTATCCGGGCTAAGATTAGCAGGCGTAGATGCAGTTTTAGGATGACGCTTTTCTTCGGAAATAGGAGCAGTAGTCTGAGAAGCAGAGCCGGTTAGTGAAGTGGTTTGGCTAACAGACACGCTAAGGGAGGTGAGCGGAGGGAAGCTAGAATCATCCACTAGAAGTCTTGACTTAGGAGAGTTGGATATAACAGAAAGCGGATGGGTTACAAGATCTGTGTTTGTGACAGAGAGAAGAGACATGGGCAAGAGATGTGATGAGGCAGGTTGGCTAGGTTTCACATTTGGAATAATCGATGATGTCTGCCTAATACCGGTAGCAGCCTGTCTTGGCCCAATCACGGTTCCAGTAGGACTCGGAGTAAGAACTCCAGCAGCAGCAACTGCAGCAAAGTTACCCTTTCCTTTACCCCAAGTTGAAGAAAGTTGAGGAGGCAATAACACACCTGTGGACTTTCCAGTGTTGTGAATCATATTAGCCTGGGAATTACTTGGATTGTTGTTATTTGTGTTAAATGACACTGGTTTGCCAGTAGTTGAATTTGGTACAGATTTCCCGACTACAGCAGAAATAGTCGCAGCAAGGGGAGCACTAGTTACTAAATTTGATTTGGCCGGCTTTCTTGCTAAACGAATTGAGGAAGCTGCACTTACGCTGGAGGAGTTAGAGATAGTAAAAGATAAACTAGATGGATATGAAGATAATATTTGTTTGGAAGATATGCCGGGAGAAGTGTAAACTGAATTGCCTATAAAAGAAGCTAGAGAAATCATACAGTTTCCAGACGTCGCTCCAGATCTCTTGAAGACAGCATGTCGGCTCAAAACGTCATTTCCAGTAATTGTGCCCGATATTAGACCCTGGATAAGGTCGTGAGTGCGCTGAACGCCATCAGATGGACCGCGAAGATAAACCATACGTTCGGTAACCTCGTCAGATCTAGCACTTTCGATGTCGATTTGAATACCAGTCATGTTACGTAAAGCGCTTACAACTGCACCACCCTGACCAATAACTTTTCCAATATCGTGTCGGGATACTTGGATGGCAATCCTCCGTTTGGAATTACTACAGAAAGCACTTACATTTCCATTAGCAGAGGCCGACTTCCATTCAGTACCAGCTGCAGAGTCCATAGGTACATTGACAGAACGCTGAGCTCGGCTACTGCTCTGTGGCATAACAACAGTCCAATTGGTGTCTCCACCATTTGTGGCACTACCTGAAGGAGAGTGGGGCCTTGCACGACTTGCTGTGACACTTGCATATCTTGCCGCTTGTGATTTAACTAAAGCATTCCATTCTTCTTCATTATCCATATCTTCCACTCCCGCCGCGTGCAAGACAGCTGCAGTTGATAGGCTGGGGGATAGAGGAGCCTCTTGAAGAATGGCAGAATCGTCTTGAGGATTTGAAGGGATTTGAGTGAGCGATTGCGAGAGATCAGGAGATACAAGGAGACCCCCGGCAGTAGTTTCGGTTGCAAGCCTTTTCACAGCTCGCTGATTCTGCTTTTTATTCCGGTGCTTTTCCCTTTTCGCCTCAGTACTTGTGGTGGAGGAAAGACTATCGTCATGACCATTGGTAGATTGGGAAAGCTGTGGTGGCTGTTTAGAGATGATGATCGGCTTTTTAGGACCTTTCTCACTTGTATTAACGAAATTGTGAACAATAGGTGGAGGAGCAGGCTCTTTAGCAGATCGATGTGTATTCGATTTGATAGAAGTTTTCTCCTTGCCGAGTGATGTCTTCGCAGGTTTTGATGAGATTTTATCTTTATTGCTAGCAATCTTAGTATCAAACCTGCTTTGATCTGCCTGCGATTTGATGGAGTGCTGATCACTTTGGCCGTTAATATCAGGCAAATAGAAATGATTTTGTGAGGGGGTAAAAGATCCAGCACTGACTTCGTATCCTGTAGACGATAAATGACTGGATATGGAATCCTCACGCTCATGACTGAGTTTGTCTGAGACTAAAATTGAACTGATAATAATAAAA